GGTTGTCTTTTCATTTTTTCATCTGTATATAGGGTGAACGTTTTGCTGGGTGCTTCCTGAGTGCAAGGTGTTTCCTGAGTGCAAGGGTTGATTCCCTGCCTAAAAGAGCTCTTCAGCACTAAAGAGTGTGTCAAGTGTCAAGTATTTGATGTGTTTCTGTTCCCAATCAAGTTTGTCTTTTGAGTTAGATTGTGCTGGTAAGTGCTATTCCACTAACCCAGAAAGAGGAAGAGGGCCAAAGGGTGGATACTGGGGTACATGCACGTTTATCTGTTGTTTCTGCAGCAGATTTGACATCTGACTTGTGATAAGTTGTACAGGACAGAACCCAAAGAGGAGACTGACAGAAGCTGTTTCCTCAGCTACTGTGAGGAGCTCCTAAGAGCTTCCCAAGGCTAAAGAGAGATTCTGGGTCCCCAAGGCAGTGCCTTTACTCCTTTGAAACCCTGGTTCAGTTGTGTGTAAAGCGGGCACAATCCCTGAATTGTAAAAAAAAGGCTGTTTTTCAGGTAGTTTGAAATCCTTATGTAGAGATGTGGAATCATAAATTATTTATCTTACTAGAGAATATTTCTAGAGGTCACCAGTTCTAATAGTTTTTTTCAAACAGAAGTAGGTTCACTTAGAACAGTTTGCCCCCTATAAAATCTCTGACCTTGACTATTCAGACTTTACAAATGCATCATTTATTACAGGAAGCTCCTTAGGGAAGATTCTTCACATCTGCTGTCATAATTTCTTATTTCCTAAATGCAGCAATTTATACTTGATTATTCTTACAAGGATCATGCCTCTCTTCCCTCCCCCTGCTCTGGCACATTCCTTTGTGCTGCTGCTTCTTCTATAGCCTGAACTCAGCATCTGAGAGTGTTTGAAATCCCAAATTTTCTTTGTTGTTATGCTAGCATTTCCTTACCACTCCGTTCTAGGGGTGGGCATGTAGGAATCTGCTCCTTTATTCTGAGGCTGTTTTGCTGTGGTTTGTTAGTGACAGCAACTTGTCATCATCTTACAGCCATTCAGCCAGTGACAAAAACCAAGCTGAATCTTTCATTTTGGCTTCCTGAGAACAAGATTTCCCCAAACAAAAATACTCTGCCACTTCTTGGAGCGCTTAGCATCTGTGGTAGTTTAGCAGAGGGCTGCAGCCCAGATTTTTAAAGATGCTCAAGTGCCTGACTGCCTCTAAACTGAATTTGACCAAAGTACTTGTAAATAGCTTTAAAAATCTGAGTGACTGTGAAGGCCTCCCTCATCCATCACTCCTGATAGTGGTCCCTTCAGAATGGCAGAAAGGCACATCAACAGAAAATACTTCTAGTCCTGCTGTCCAAAACTCTGCATATTAAGTGAGTTGCTGCATTCCAGCATGGGTTTTCATGAAATACATCTTTGAATCAGATTGCTTGTATTCCCTAGAAGAGAAGAGCCCCTGCTTGCATGAAAGTCAATATTTAAGTCAGACAACTTTTAAAAAGGATGCAAAGTTATACTGTAAAAATACCCACCTTTATAGCTTTTAATCCATTTTTTATTAAAACTGGGAAATGAGAGAAAAATTCACATTTAAATTACTTTCTGATGTTTCTAGGGGATACTCTTTGCATTCAGGTGGCTTCACATTGTTCTTCCCCTACCCATTTTTGGTGCTGCTGTTCTAGACTTGCATAACCTTCAGGGAAAAATTTATTCCCAAATATAAAACCTGTATGGATTTTACGTTTTTTTTAGTATTTAGTAACATTTAACTGTGTATTAGCCTTGGAATTAGTCTGTTTTCCTGTGAATCCATAATGCTGGGTTAGTGCTGACTAAAAAGTGTTTGAAAAGGGTAGCCCTTCATATTTATGTCCTTCACTCAAGGAGTTGTGTGCTCCTCAGGGTGTTCCTTCAGTGGTGCTACAGAGCCAGGATCGAGCGCACAGAAAACTGTTCTGGTGTAAGAAACAGGCACTTGCAGTGCTTCTCCATAATAAATGTCACAGAGTTTGGGAAAATTTAGTTAAACTAGTTCTTGTTTAATTAACTTGCATTTGAGTTGTGCATAGTAATGTATTCCATTTCAGGTTTGGTGGGGGTTTCCTGAGGGAGGATGGGGAATAAAACTTCATCAGTGGTTTGAAAAGCAAAACCAGTGAGAGGCTCTAAGTCAGGAAAAAGGGAACAAAGAACCAAATACATACAATAGCACAAAAGAAGAACCACTGACAGAGTTAGAGATACAACCTGACACTCGCTGGCTGGGGCGGTGGTGGCAGGTATGGTTCTGTCCAAGCAGTGCTCCTGTAGACTGATGGAGTTTCCCTCTGGAGGTGCAGTGCAGAGGTCTCAGCTGTTCCCCTTGGAAGAGGAGATACCCTTGCTGTCTGCACAACCCTGCTCATATCCTTGATGGCATCGTTTGGCTCCTCCCTCTGGGCGGAGCATCTCACAACAGAATGCTGCGATCTTATCGGCCATGTGGCTGAAAGAACAGCTCCTCCTGGAGGGACCTATCTCTGAGTCAGGAAATAAAGAAAGAAAGGGATTGCAGCTCGAGGTGGTAATGGAATACACCCCAATATTATAACCTAGGACAATCAGTTCTATGAAATAAAAAAAGAAAGTAAATGACTCTGTTGGAAAAACATTGTGATTTGACGTGGCTTGCAGAATGATGGTCTTGTCTTGTCTTTTGGGTTTAGACTGAAAGTCTGACATACTTGAGCTATGTTCTGTAGCAAGTTTACTTTCACTCCACGCTTCCCACCCCGAATTAAAGCCTGCCCACCAGGTCGCTGAGCTGGAAAAGCTGGTGTCCTTTGAGCAGCGTGTCTTCATCCCTCCTCCTTCACCTAGGGTCACGCTGTGTCTCCCTGTGCCGCAGGTGCCTGGACGGGGAGCGCGCCGGCCGGGCCGGGGGCTGCCATGGTGCTGGCCCCCGCAGCAGGCAGATAGCAGCGATGGTGGCCTGAGGGCTCCAGCCCAGCGCAGACATGGCCTTCGCCCAGTCCCACATCATGGCAGCCAGGAGGCACCAGCACAGCCGGCTCATCATCGAGGTGGACGAGTACAGCTCCAACCCCACGCAGGCTTTCACCTTCTACAACATTAACCAGGGACGCTTCCAGCCCCCACACGTGCAAATGTAAGTATCGCGGTGCTGTTGTTGCTCCGGCACGGCCTTCGGAATGGTTGTTGCCTTGTCGATGTGGCATTTGATGGATCAGTCAACAAGAATTCAAGGAACGCTGTTCTGCTGCCTTTCTAATAATGTTTACTATAACGACAAGAAATCAGTCCATTTGAAAAGTACTTTGTTAAAAGATGGGAGAAAGATTCCCTCACTGGTGTAAGTATACTACTTAGGTATTAAAAAGAGAAATAAAAAACAAGCGGTGGCAATAAAACACAAGATTTTACAAGGATGATACTTTCTGCAATCTTAATAACGTTTGTTTGCTTTGTGTGCTTGCATATTCATGTACATGGCTGCTGAAAACACCAAGCCTGGATCTGCGTAGCACACATTCTGTTTGGTTGGTTATATTGCAGCTGCATACAAGGGAAAAATCGTATCAATACATAAAATACTGTGGGCACCCATCCGAAAACTTACTTTCCAAAAGAGCCAAGTGCTTAAAGAGTAATTAAAATAATGTGTTTGTTTCTGACTTCTTATATAACGACAACATCAGTAAAATTAACTGCTCTAGATGATTTACTTGTAACGTAAACTGGAGAATTATAATTACGAAATTAAACCTGCCATAAAGTTTAAAGCCAGAAGGAAGAGCAAAACAGTAAAGCTATTACAAATAAATTAAGTATAAAATTCTACTGTAAAATATTTTTATAGGGAATAAAAATGTCTGCACCATTTTATTGTGTTTATTAAAGAGAGAAGCAGCCTTATCTTTAGATCAGATGGCTGGTTTTCATTTTTTAAAGAGAACCCTTTTCCTTTAGGAAGACTGAACAAATAGTCACTTAGTTTACATTTTTGGTATTTAATATGATTTGATAACTTAAAAACGTAGGTCGTGATTTCTGCAGTTAAAAACCTCAGCACTTGTGACTGGTTGAATGCTGTGTGTCTATTTAGTGAATGCTTCTTTAGCATAAATTAGATTATATAAAAAATCTGATGACTAACATGTATATCAAGATGGTGAGCAAACACTCGGTTTTTGGGGGCAGTATATTATGATCTGTGTTGGGGTTTTTTAGATCCTACTGAAATGCAAACAGTAAAATGAGTTGAGTGTTAGCACTGGGAAACATCTTTTGTTTATAGAGCTGGCAAATGGTAGAAAAAGTACAAACAAACAAATGTGGGTTCAGAAATACTTTTACAAATGAAAATGCCAAATGCAGGTTGCCTGATATGTTGAGGCTTAGCTATTCTTTGTGAATACTCAGACAGCTCCTGGGCACTCAGGAATTTGTTTCCTGATCTTAAGGAAGCCAGGGCTGAAAATAAGTTATTTAGTAGTATTTACTTGGTTCTGAACAATATACTGCTTAAACTTCTAACCAGTAAGAAATCATGGTACTGGAGGCTTAGGCAGTCAACTACATAATCGAAACCCAGCACCCAAGCAAGGAGCTGAAAATAAGATGCCCTTAGAAAACAATTCCTCAGAAGAGTTTAGCAATCTCTCATGAATGATTAATACTATTGAAGAAGCTTGTGCAAATAGAAAAACAGGCCAAATCAATTGAAACACGTACCACAATCTGACCTACACTTTCTCTTTGCACAGAAATAGTAAATAATGATTCTGAATACCAGTAGGATTGCTTTTTCTTCCTACCAGTGAATAGAAGAGTAACAAAGAAGGGAAAAGTAGACATAAAAAGGGTGACAAAAGCACCTTTTATTCACATGGTTGTTGTGGGTGAAATCCTAGCCCTGCTTCTGTGCATGTAAGTTTTGTCCTTAACTCCAGGCTTTGTGCATGGTTCAAAATACCTCCATTAGTGATGTTGCAGGCAATCATAAACATTTCACACAGACCAGTTAACATCTGAACTCTCAGTAAACTACTTTCACCACGGGGTGGGAGGAGGATTGTATGCTCAATTTTCTTCAGGATTCAGTCTTGTTGCAGCTCTCCCTTGGGCCTCTGTGCAGGTTTGGATTTCTTATTTGATGTTTTAGCTCCCAGAACATGCTGCCAGCCCTTTCTGGACCTGTCGTAGTCTGGCATCCCTGTGCTTGTGAGATGACTGGGTTGCCTCTGACAAGGAGCATGGTAAATTCTGCCAGTGTTTTTCAAGTCCATCAGTCATTTCTGGAAAGTGCCTGTCTCACTCCTTCCTGAAGTACTGAAATCTAGTGTATAAACTACCCTCAAGAAGTGTTTTTGCTCTGAGATGTTCCAGCTTCGCTTTTCAGTTTCTCTGCAAGTTTTCCTACTGATGTAAAGAAAAACAAAAGCATTTGCACAGAAATAATCAGCAGATCTGTATTCCTCTGCTCATGCTGCAAGCTGTGCATTGGGTGTTGGTGTGACAGCTGCTGTGGGAACGCGTTACACAAGAATATGGGGATTGAGCCTTCAGAAATTATTTCCAGTAATACAGCTTAGATGAGTTTGTGAAACTTGACATATGCTTTTACCTATATATGGTGTCAGTGCGTGCATATCACTTCAACATGAGAAATCTGCATCTCATTTATTTGGGTAGGTTTTTTGTATTGATGCCTTTTTCCCCACGAAAATTCTCTGGCCTATTGCAGAGAATTTAAAAGTTACACATACCTCAGCAACCAGGAAAATGCTGTCCACACCTTCCCCATCCCCATCCAAGACATGTGCATTTTGTGCTCCATGGGGTTGCCATGGTAAGCCTGCTGTTCTTACCACACAGCTTCCTATGTGAGACGTACACTACTCCCTAAAACCCTCCTTACTGCTGTGCTGAGCTTTAAAAGATTTCTGAAGGAGAAGCTGTACCTGCTTTAAAGGCTACCCTACCATGAAAAGTCAAAAAGTGGTGTTTTAGATCAGTCCATATTCTTATGTCTGCCAAGGCATTACCAATTATTTAAAGCTGGCTTGGTAATGCCATCTGTAACTTGCTTTGGGAAGTGCTGGGCAGGGAGAGCAAGAATTCAGTTTACTGGACTGATGTTTAATTCTTGTAGCTTGAGCAGCTACAGTGATAGCCAAGGTCAGCCCCTCATCATTTTTAGCCAACCATCCCGGTTCATTTTGTGAACTGGCTGCATCATCCTTCACACAGCTCCCACCTGGGGGCAAATCCTTGCCCCCCAGTCTGAGCCCCACCATTCACCACCCACATTCCTCTGCACCCCGGCTGCCTACCCTGGAGCTTGCCCTGTGCAGCTTTCTCCTCTTCCAAAACAGGGCCATTTTTAGCATCTCAACCCTTCTCCTTCATCTGCCCTTCCCCAAATGCCCTACACAAGGTGGTTCCGGCTGCTTGGAGTCCAAGCACTGCACTCTTTGCCACCCAAATTTTAGAGTTCCCATTACATCCCTGCTTACATATGCCCCTGGCATGTAGCTCATCAGGCAGGATTTGAGGTTTTACCCTCAGCTCATATTTAGCTACTTTCTGCTCAAAACCTGCAACTTCAGAAAGACAACCCTAAGGTGTTTGTATGAAAAGGCTGCTCCTCCAGTTTTGCTGCAAAAAGCCCAACATTTCTTCTTCCGATGTGGAAAAGATGGATACAAAATAATTGGTTCATACTCTGGTTTTGTAGTTACACTGTAGAAAATGCTAAGACCTTTTTCTGTATTTAACAAGATTTCAATGTTTTAGATTAGTTCCTCACCCTCTCACTAATCCTGTGAAGTTGTCAAAACCACATCAGCTTATCTGCCTATAAATTTCATATAATTTTTTTGACACGGAGAAAAGGTTGAGTGATTAAAGATCATCGTCTTATACCTTTTAAGCAGTAAAATGCTTTTTGAAAATTTACCTAGTAAACAGAAGTAGTATTATTAAAAGCAAAGATCTCTATAATTTTTTTTTTCCCCTGAGTTTGTCTATGTACAAGTAAGCTCCTGAATTGAAGCACAACCAGCAAAGGATAGAAATATGTACTGTATACTGCAACAGTGAACAAAACAAATTTTATTTGCCCTTTCAAAAGAAATGTTGAAAAAGTAAAACAGTTCATAACAATTCCGTATATCTCTCTGGCTTCTAGTGACACTAATATAATTCTTGCATCTCTTGCTTTTTGATTTTTTTTTTCCATGAGAATTCTCTAACAGGAGTAGCAGATACAGTATAGCTGCATGTAGACAGATTTGCTTCTATGTATTCAAGCAAAATATGGATTGAGGTTAAAAAGACTGATTGGAAAACAAGTGTTCCTTCTACAGCAGAGAGGTGTTCTCTGATTTCCTCTTGTAAATTATAAGTGAGTCTCAGCAAACTGGGATGATGATCTTTTTGTTTCTTCAGTTTTGACTGTAGAGACTGGGTTCTGAACAATGCAGCCTCACCCCTCACAGCATCTGATTTCATTTAGTGTAATTAGGCCCAGAAAGTCGTCACTTTGTCCTGACAGCAGTCAGGCTTTAATGTACATTTACAGCTGTTAGGAGAGTTTTAATGTTGCTTTGCATTAACACACTGAAACATAGCTCCAAAATGGGTTAATTAAATTTGCTCAAATTGAGTAACTTGCAGAAAAGAAGTTATAATTAGAAAGGGAAAAAAAGCATCTGAATGCATTTATGTATCTAAACTAAATCTTTTCCCTGTGTACAGTGTAATCATATTTAAACAATGGCATGGGATAGTACTTTTCCTTTGAAAATAGCAATGCCTTTGATATATTTGTAAGTATTTGTGTCAGAATTACTGCTGTAGTCCAATCTCTTTTCCTTAATCTCTTTAAATTAATCTATCTACCCAACAAATACTGAAAATGTTGTGATGTGAACATCAAGAATTTTTACACCTCCCATTAGTGTTAGGTTTGTTTTAATAAATCCTTCCATCAGGCAGATTTAGAAGTGTGTGTAATCTTTTGTAAAGGTAAAAAAGTAGTGTCAGAATTGCAAAGCAGGCACTGAGGAGTACGTAAATACTTTATAACCTTGTTATGATGCATTTCCTACAGGGTTGATCCGGTGCCCCATGACGCTCCGAAGCCTCCAGGATATACACGATTTGTCTGTATTTCTGATACTCACTCAAGAACTGATCCCATCCAAATGCCATATGGAGATGTGTTAATACATGCTGGTGATTTTACTGAGCTGGGACTTCCTAGTGAAGTAAAAAAATTCAACGAATGGCTAGGTAGGTATTGAATTCTGTGTGGATTTGACAGTAAATTTGTAAATTTGTTTACTGATTGTACTGCCCCTTCTGCCTCCCAGTTAAAAACCATCATGCACTCAGAAATCATGAATATTAATTTGACTTTTAAGTTTGAATGACAGTGAGCAGGAATCAGATTTTTTTTCCTTAGATTCGACAAATATTTTTGCATTTTTCCAACTGAGCAAATAGGATTTGTGAGACTATTCATCTGTTCTGCCTTCACACTCTCAAGTGTACATTAAGCAACTTGGTGCTAGCAACAATTGAAGTCAGGAGGCCTTTAATGATTTACATAAAACCTCTTGCATACATTGTTACAGCTTTGCTGCCTCCCCCAAAAAGTTGTTGTGACTGAAAACATTTTTCTGTTTAACCCCAGAGGGCTCATAGGTTTGGGGTTTTTTTGTTATATCTGAGGCTCAGCTGCACCACAGAGATGAATTCTGAACAAAGCAAGCCCTGTGTGCCTGTAGTTGCTGCCTTGGATGTAGCAGACCAGATGTAGATGCCTTCTGTAGGCAACTTTTGGCATTGCTAACTGAAATTCTGTTCCACTGGGCAAGAGAGTGATGATTTACATGTGCTTCTGCAATGTTTTGTATATGCTAAAAAAAAAAAAAAAAAAAAAAAAAAGCAGTGAAAATTGGAAAGCATGCACTGTATCCAGACAAAAACCCTCATCGGAGCTGTTCTTGCAGCATTGCAGATACCTTAATTTAGAATAAAAGTGTCTTCTGGATTCTGACACTCTGAGACTTCATTAATTAAAAAAAGGTGAGAGGAAATGAAGGAGTTGGGGAGAGAAAGGACCCAGTTTAAGGGTAACAAATTTCAACTTTTTGTCTTGATTTTCTTTCTTGTAATTGATATTTCTACATTTTTTCTTTTCTTTTCTTTTTTTTTTGCTACATATTTCAGCATTCCTCACAAGGAAGGCAGAAAGCAGACAGATGCATGTAGGCTGAAATGGAATTTTAAAAGGAAAGTCAGGACTTCACAATTTAAACAAATATTTACTAGCAAATAATTATCAGCAAGGCTGATAAATATTTATTTGAGCTCAGGAACCCAATAATATGCCCCACACAGAAAAATTGTTTTTTTCTGTGACTATGAAGGTAGGAACAGCATGTGGAATAATTGATATAGAGCCATCAGCTCTTGTCTCTGCACCTAAATGGAACAGGTTGGTTATAAAACAGCAAGTTTTGACCCTATTCTGTAGGTCTCTACCATGTATTATAGTTATGTGCTGAAAATAGCATTTACAAATTATTCAAACCATATGGTTACCCCTTCTAAATAATCCTGATTTTATTTATCTGCTGGTGTGGGAAGAGAAGTGCTTTGGGATATTGCTGGTGATCAAGGATTGGGCTGTGCACATTGCTTGCTGCACAGTTTTTGTCTCCAGTTCTCCATCTGCCTCCCTGCTGGTCACAGCTGTACGGTGTTCTGAAGATGTCTGTAAGCTGAAATCCTCCCAAAATGGTAGGGAGATTTCCCAAGGCATTTCTGTGATGTTCTCTTCATCATTTTTATTCCAAAAAAAAAGGCTTAATTTTCTGACTTTTCAGGCATGCTTCCAATTTCATGGTAGCGTGCACTTGGGAAAAGGTGATCTTGGTGGTTGGAGTTCTATTTTTGAAAGAGCAAAAGATTTGAGATACAGGAAGTTAGCAAGTTAAAAGGTTTTTGTTTAGTTTCTTGGCAATTTAAAATAAAGATTTAACTTAAATTTTTAATGAAGTTTTTTTTTTGTGGTTGTTTTAAATGAGCAGTTTAATTCAACTCTTGAATATATTGAGTCTTCACAAAATCTGCAGTAAATGGCAGCATGGTTAAAAGCATCCCCATTGAGAAGGAATTTCAGAAGGTTTTGCTTGTTGTCCATTTTTTTGTGAAGGCGTTAGTCTCCAACATCTTTGATTTTTCTAGATAGCTGCTTCCAGTACCTTCCATAATTTTGCAGTTCCACAGCCAACCCAACCTTCTCCTTCCTTAATATTTTACTGGTTTCTTGAGAAAGTAACTGGCAGACTCTGGCACCAACTTTTCCTCCACTGCCATTCTTCCTTGCTGCTGCCAGATCTCCCTGTTTATTCCTTCATGCACAGGGCTCACTTTCCCACTTATTTTGTTGTCTAATCCATGTTAGATTATGACTAACTTGGATTACAACTTCGTTTTGCCTTGCAATAAACACTGGGTTTGATACACCTTGCCTTGATCTCAGCTTCCCCTCAAGCACGAGATGCAAACCCTCCTCCTGCTTTTCCTCCAAGGCTTTATGTGCAGCATTGATTCCCACCTTTCATTTTTCACTTTTGCCATCCCCTCTTGGGTCTGTGCCACTCTGATCTCTCTGCTTCATCCTTCCAGATGAACTTGCCCTTCAGCAAGTTCAGATTTTATCTTTGCGCTTTGCACAAAAATCCTGCGCCTGTCTGATGGAAAATTTATTTTACATTACCATCATTAACTTCCATGGGCCTTATGATTCTATCAAGCACATGCTCAAGTGTTGTGCTAATAGAGGCACATCGGCTGGATGAGTCATCCCCTAAAATCTGTTTCTTTTTCTTTTTCTTTTTCTTTTTCTTTTTCTTTTTCTTTTTCTTTTTCTTGTTCTGACTTTTTCTTTTTCTGACTGTCCCTGGTTCCCAGGAGAGCCGCTAGCAGCTCGGGTAGCGGTGCCTACGATCCCAGCGTTGCCCCTGGCTGGGGCTGGTAGCTCAGGTGCCCTGTTTTGGCTGCCCTTTAGTCACCAAGTTTTATCCTTCTGACCCCTAAAGCCCCCTAGTTCACTTCAGTTTGTTCTTTCTGGTGATTAATTGCTTTCTGTCATGTGTCTTTTTCTCTAAGCACTTTCTCAGGGAGAGAGTGGAGGTTTCATTAGGGTTGGCTTGGTGTCTAACTGTGGAAGAGAGAAAATGTTGGTGATCACTGGATGTGCTTATTTTCTTAGCCTTCTATGGTAGGCAGTCCCATTACTTTTAATTTCATATATAGATTTTTCTTCTCTGAGTTTTTAAATTGCCTTTAGGGTCTGTGCAAAATTTGAGCACAGACAGTTTTGCAACAGAGTTCCAGAATATGACACGGATGGTGAGATGAACTGGGCTTATTCTGAGCCTGTCACCTACTAGCTTCATTTGGTATTTCCTAATACTGGAAGAGGCAAATGAAAAATTTATCATGTTTTATTCTGCTTAAGAATTTTTAGGCTCTTTCCATATCTGCCCTAAAGATATTTTTCAGGCTGAAGATTGTTCAGAAGTCCTTAAATGCCTTTGATCATCTGTGTCACTCTTTGTACCTCTTTGTTCCACATCCTTTTAAAGAGAGTGAGACCAGAGCTGCACATGTTCTGAGAACACTACAGATAATTCTCTGGCACAATGAAACTTCCTAGTTCTCTTTTCCTTTCTGGTGTTGTGGATTATTCTGTTTTTAATAGGACAATGAGATGACATTGTCATAAAATTTCCTAATACAATTCCATGAAGCCTTTCCTGAATGGTAATACCTAGTTCAGAACCCATCACTGCATCTATAGTTCTTGTATTTTTGTCCAAATTTTAAAAAATATTCTGCATAAATTTATGGTCAGTTTCATCTGTCCTCTTATTGCCCAGTAATGAAATAACATTATGCACTTTTGCAAGTGAGATTACTATTTTGCTGATGTTTTTCAGGGTAACTTAGAAAACTAAGGGATGAACAGTCAGTTTACAAAGCATACAAACAGTGTCATTGCCCTTCCTTCCTTTTTTTCTGAACTGACCCTTCTTCTGTTATCATATCTCAACTTCTTCCTTTTTTTTATCTAGTTTGTTCTCTTACTGTATTTTTCTTCCAAATTAAAAAATTCCCTTTTGGGGAATCAGAAGAAGATGAAGTACAAGATATGTTTTATGGACTTAACAGAAGGCCAAGAATCCAGGGAAACTTTCTGATAATTTATAAGGATGCATGGTATGACTTCAAACGTGTGCTAATTTTCCAGTGTGATAAGGAGATTTTAATGATAACACTTCAAACAGACAGAAATAATCTGCAGCTTTTTCATTATTTTGGGTTTTGTTATCCATTCCCTTCTTCCCTACCTGCATATCAATCAAATGTCTAGTAGGACAAATACGATGTATGTCCTGCCTTAGCACACTCGTCAAATACTGACTCCAAAACCATCTCTATTTTTTATCTCCCATATTGCTGGCACTAGAAATTGCCTGCTTGGCTCAGTTGCTCATGTAATTCCCTTTGCTCAAGCCTGTAATATCATTTCCAAATTGTGTATGCTCCAAGACCCGCTGTCACTTTGAGCTTGTAGGTTACTTTCCTGGAAATTTAACTAAATGGCTGATCTGTGGTATAAGCTGTAACACATACTTCCATCTTGTCTCTGGGAATTCTCTTCTGTGCATGGATTGGGAAGATTACTTAAACTAACACATTTTGTAATATATATTGTTTCAGTGTGTTTGCTTGACATTTTCCAGTTTCTAAGACAGACTTTCTATTTGAAATTCAAGGTCAAGGTAACTTGAAAATAAAAAAATAGAAGGTGACTTGGAGTTATGGAAAACAATAATTAGCTCTTCATAGTATTTTTCTGAAAATACTATTACAAGCATGTTGTACACACACAAACCCAAACAAAAAAAGAATTACATTATTTGACATGCACTTCAGAAGCTGACCTAGGCAAATTCAGCACAAAAGATAACATTTTTATTTCAGACTACTTTATTTTAGAGTGAAGATGTCTACCAACTGTAGTAACTAGCACAACTAGAAATGCCTGCTTCTAGAATTAGATTGTATTTTATATAATCCTGTAGTATTAGATTCTGTAGACAGAATCAGAGATTTTTCAATGGACATCATCTATACTTTTTAGAATTCTTGATAAAAGATCTTCAGAAAAACTTGTAGTCACTAGGCTTCTTTGCTTTACTGGTCAGCTTTGC